GATAAGATAAGCTAATCCTAATCTGATAAGCTACTAACAAGATAAGATAAGAGCAATAGGATAAGATAAGAACAAGCAAGATGATCTAATCTAAACTAGATAAGGCTGCTGTTGCCGAACTGGGTAGGATGAAAATCATTGAATCACTGCTGCTGCTGGCGGTGGGTCAGGTGCCTGTTGCTGCCGGCGGCGATGGTACGTCTTCCCAAGGAATGCGTCCATAACACAATATTTCTCCTGCATGATTGCTTAATATTCACTCCACTCTGGACAATCCTGGATTACTCATGCTGCACCTATCAAGTTAAGTTTTAGGTAATTCAATGGCGGTTAAATTTGTGGAATGTATTTCATGCCGTTATTTTTCTTGTAACATTTACACTGTCAATTTTACATTTTTTATGACAAGTAAGAAGATACATGTAAGGTATGTTCAATCCATGCAGAAAGGGGAGATCTCAAGGTCCTTGTCTGTACCAGTGCGGAATGTTGTTATTGTTAGATCTTTATCCTTTGCAACTTGTAAAGAACATGTACAAGAAAATGCAGACAATGGTATTTATTTATACTCATTCTAGTTTGGTTTCAAATTTTCTTAATAGTTATTGGAAGATTCCCTTAGTTGATATGGCATTTGATCAAGTTCATTTATTTTCAGAACTATTGAATGAAAAAAACTGGATGTAGTTCACTGGGCCTAAAAGTGCCAGGATGCAAGTATGCAACTGAGTTTTTCAACATTCTTTTTTTTGAAGAATCAAGAAAAAAATTCATTAAAAGGAAAAATACTTACATCCTTATCCTTGGTTGTCTAGATGACACACCACAAACATTCTCAAAGTTTCAAATCGAAAAGGATTCTACATTACACTGTAATTCAAGGGTATTCCAGAAATTTTCCAACAAATCGGCCTTGGAGACTTGATCAAAATCTGGAAGTCTGAGAACCCATTCTGAAATCAGATTGGTCACTGCAGCTACCATGTATTCATTAGTCACTGAGAACCCATTCTGAGTTTTCCAACATTCTGTGTAACTTATGAGATCTGGCAATCATATGTTGGATTATAGATACCAAAATGTTTTATATTAAATATGCTGACATGACATGCCAAAAGAGGGAAAAATCTATGCTGCTGGAAAGAAATGATACTGGAAGGGTATCATAGTCGAACATTTTATACTTGATTCTGGTTTCACTTTTATGCATATCTAGAGAAGCTATTTGGGTCTGGTTTGATAACTGATTAACTATTGAGAAGATATGGACAGCATATGAGAGGTAGATGGTATATAATCATAGGGCTGCAGATAAATTGACTCTAATTTGGGTTGGGGTATATCTGAATTTGATTTGACAAGTTATATTGAATATCTGATTCAATCCCATATCTGACGGATCTACAAAATTCAGATTCAAATTCAATTTGAGAACATTATCATATATCCGAAATTATATCCAATTCAAATTGATTGACATGAGATTCAAAACAATTACAATATATATTTTTTTTTTGAAAAAAATGCTATATGGAACCAATAACTGATACTGGAAACAGTTTAATGGCTTCTCACCAAATTTGAACTAAGCCTGTGGAACATAGGAGCAGTACACAGTTGAACTCCCTCCTTTCTCTCTATAATACTTCATTGGAGCTTCAAGCTTGTAGTGGTAGAACTGCAAGACATCAGTTGGTTAAACAAATCTAATTGTTCTGGAGCTAGAAAACCATTTGAAGATTCTCAGGAAGAGAACAACAGGAGGCCATGAATTCCCTTTAACACTACTCTTCACTGAGATAAACCTATAATATTTCAAAAAGAGGCCACCTGGAGATATTGAAAAAGATGTTGCTGATAACTCCTCTTAAAATACAAATAATGTAATGGTAGATCTGCACTAGGATTGCTAAGACTAAAAACAATTTAATCTTTGTAAAAAAATAACTGTTTAGGAGTCAAACCTCTAGAACCATCAAAACGTCCATGACAAACAACAAACTTTTCCCCATTTGATGAAAACACAAAGTAGCTTTGGTCTTCAAATCCATAACTATCGTGGCCTAGGAAACCCTTAAATAGAGCCCTAGGAAATTGAAAGATCAAACAGACCTAATTATTCCAGTAACACCTAACAAACTTTTCAAGTGTGTGTGTGGTACACCATGCTGTTGTTGGTTGCCAAAGGAGAAATGTATCTTGGAGGCTTTCCATTTGAAGAACAACCAATGATGCCACTGACAATTGCCCTCTTCTCCTTACCTATATTGAAACAAAGTGGTTTAAAAAACCTCCAACCATGCTGTTGGTGAACACTCTTTTCCCCTACTTCTCTATGTTAAAACTGAAGGGCAAAGAATAAAATGAACCAACTAGGGTTTCAATTTGTTAGAAAAGAAAAGGTTGTTAATGATCTATTTTATATTTAGACCTGAAAAGCTCAATTGATTATGTTCATGTCCATCATTTCAGAATGCCCCTTCCACCCTGGAGGGTCCTGGGTTGCCAAGAGCACTAGTTCTCATCAAAGTTAAACTTTATTTATATAACACTTGGAGAATGAGAATAAGCCTATTGCTTCAAGTTAGTGCCAAAAAAAAGTAAAAAGAAATGAAAGATAAATAATCTTTTGTCTATTTTATTTCAAAGTTTCTAGATGGTGGCGAGTCCTTTTCTTTTTTCTGAAGTGTTACCATTCTTTATTAAATATTGAAGGTGTAATGATATACCAAAAGTACAGTGGCTGCAAAAGAAGATCAGCAGTCAGTCCCATCCAAGGGTGTTTCTTTCTCTAACAAAACCATCCTGCATGATATATGCAAAACAAAAATCAATTTGTACACTTATCAAATACCCAAAATGGACATTGTTTTATTTTTTGGTCATTAGGTTGATTTGTGGGGCTGAAGAGTTAAAGGTTCTCCAGATTGATTCTCAGCTACCACTCAGAAGTTTTGTTCCAGCATGAAACTAATTCTGTTGAACCATAAAAGGAAGCACTCAGAATTGAAACACAATATAAAATTTTGCTGACAATGTGCCAATGCTGTTCAAAATTTTAATTCTGGTATCATGAAATTATCATTTTCTATTCATATTCTATTTTCTTCATCTTTGTTTCTTGTCAATTCAGGTGAAATAACTCCAGTTCATACAGAAAACAATGACGAAGAGATTCTTGAAGAGGAAGCTGTTTGCAGGATCTGTTTAATTGAATTGTGTGAAGGAGGAAATACACTCAAGATGGAATGCAGTTGTAAAGGTGCTCTCAGGCTTACACATGAGGAATGTGCATTGAAGTGGTTCTGCATGAAAGGAAACAAGAACTGTGATGTCTGTGGGCAAGAGGTTCTCAACTTACCAGTAACTTTATTTAGGGTACCAAGCTCTGCTCAGAGGGACAATAGAGAAAGGCGCAACAGAAGGAACTCAAATACACAATCTACAGGGTAATAAAATTTGAAGATTATTATCATGTATCTTGTTTTCTTGTTTCTTAAAACCCAAATTTCAGCTTAAGAGACTGGAGTTTGATGGGAACTGTTAGAACCCATGTGAATTGGATCTTTCCTGATGATCATATGACTCACTATGTACTATAAATCTCCTACTGGACCATTATATCTGTTGAGTGACACCTATTCCTATTTTCTCAATTCACCAAATTATGTAGGGGCACCTGCTTTGACTCCAAATTGTAGGGCTTGAACGAATCATGGAGTACAGGACGGTTATGACTGGCTTAGGGTTATTTTAAGACTAAGAGTAAATATTTGTTAGGTTTGGAAAAGTCTCGAGGCTTAACTGCAATAATTGCAGATTTGCCTAAACTGTGAAAAGTTTTGAATTGGGAAACATAGATCTATGGTTGGAACTTTTTAATGAATATACATATATATATATATATATTCCTAGATAGATGTAAAGGTCAATCAAGTTTGGTATGGTTCAGAGCACATCTTGTACACAACAACGGGAATTCTGGACTATGAAGAAATCAAGAAAATACAAAAAATGTGAAATCCAGGGTTCAAGGTGAAATTTTGGGATGGAATTTGATATCATATTTATAAGTTTTTTCAAGGGGTGTCCAACTATGAAAGCAATTAAATATGATTTGGCACAAAAGGATGAAAATGGTAAAAAGGGGAAAATTTTGAGTTTTGGCATATACTTAAATTGAAGAATAACTGTACTTGAACCAATTTTAATCCTTTAGAGGTGTTGTTTGAACCCTTGTAACTTGTGACCCATTGGTGGCTGTAACTACTGTAGGGTGTAGAGAGAGAAAACCTTGAACTACTCAATGGCCACCTAGAATCAGTATAGGGTTTTTGGAGACCACTCACCATATGCATAGTTTGCAGAAAAATCACTCAAATATAATTCCTATATCAATCTTGACATTTTTGACTCAAAACATGCCTAAACACATACGGAAAAAAAAATAAATTAAAAGGAGTGGTTCTTTGACCTTTTTGGGTGCAGGTGGACCCTACCTACAAGCTTGGCTAGTTTGTTTGCAGGTGGAACCTTCAGGTGGCCAAGGAAAAGAGGAAGACTCTTGTGGAGATGCACTAGGGCTGCTGTTTTATGGAAAGTTTGGGAAGAAAGAAATGCGGGACTCTTCAAGAGGAGAAAACTGTGGAAGCAATTTTGGAATATATTCTCATAAGGGTGATTCATTGGGTCAAATCTTTGGATGTGTTCTCACCCTATTCCTTTGATGACATAAGAAGAAATTGGAGGGAAGTGGCTTCTTCGTCTACAAGAAAGTCTAGAACACTTAAGATTTGGGAACCACCATCGTGGAATCTTATAAAACTTAATTTTGATGGGAGCTGTCTTAGTAACCCAGCCCTTTCAGGTACAGGAGGGGATTTTAGGGATAAAGATGGAATTATTTCAGCTTCGTTCTCAGGTCCTATTGGTCTCAGAGATTCCACTAGAGCTGAGTTGCTCGCTGTACTTTGTGGGGGCACAAATATAAGAAGGTTACGTGTTGAAGGGGATTCTCAAGTGGTGGTAAGCTGGATAAAGAACGAAAAGAAGGCAGGCTGGACTTATCGAGAAGTGGTGAACACGATCAAGTGGTTTTTAAGGGGAATGACAGTAAGTTTTCAGTGGGTTCCAAGGGATGCTAATGGGTTGGCAGATTCCTTGGCAAGGCAAGGGGTTTTTAGGGAGTAATTATTTTGGGCTTGTTTGTATTGGCTGCTTTTTAGGGGTATTCATACCCTTTTTGATTCTCATTATACACCCTTGTTTATATTAATGAAATGATATATGTTCTGTTAAAAAAAAACAGAAATTAAGAATTGTCATTATCATAAGAAAACACAATAACTCATAGAGGACTCAACCAATAATTGAAATTTTAGATACAAACTAACTATAATTAGACAAATCGGACTACTAGGCCGGACCCCACAGAAAGCATGTAAAGTGACAAAAAACATGCTGTCTAAAATTACAAAATACAAAAAAATTTCAAATTTGACTCTGATTCCTGCATCACCAAGTGGTTACAAACATGCATAAGAATTTCAAATTTCATATTATGTTGAGATCATAATATTGCAAATTTTAGTTTTTAATCCTTGTTTGTGATATTGAAGGGCCATGTAAGGCAGTCACAAGCATGGTAAGCATGTAGATGAGAATTTTGAGAAATAACGGGATCTAACAGTTCAACATGGATGCACTCTTTTAGTTTCATTTCCTTCATCTAATGTATCAGTTTTACTTGGTTTCTGCAGTGCCTGGAAGGACTTGGTGGTGCTTATCTTGATTAGCACAGTTTGTTACTTCTTCTTCCTTGAGCAACTACTGGTATGCCTTCCATTTCTTAAAACAAATCTAAAATGATATAAGTTCTTTAAATATCTACTGAAACTTGGACTAGTCTCATCTCAAAATAAATGTGACCTTTAGAAGATCTTACATGGCCAATCCAAAACCATCAGATAGGATATTCTTTTGATAGGCCTCGTGTTTAGTTCTGCACTGCAGGTTAGAACCCACCTTGTATTGACTATTGAGAAGACTGGGCAGTTTTTGTTTGTCTGGTGCTCCATTTTAGTGGGTTTTGAGGGTCTATCTTTTAGGCTCTGTTATAACTATTGACGTAATAAGATATTATATACCAATTTATTGATAATTTTTCATCAATAACATGTAACTTCATTAAAATTTAGGAAAAATTACATACAAGCAGAGGGAGGTAAACTATCTTAACTCCCTCACAAACAAACAAAAAACAAGATTAGAAATGAGCCCAAGACAAAGAATCCCTATTCATCCCTTGCTTAGCTAGCCCATCAGCAAATGAGTTAGCAGTTCTCTTCACCCAGCTGCATTTTATCTCAATATCCTTAGCTAGCCATTTGAATTTTTTCCTTTCATTGCTGTAGTTCCACATTCCAGTCTTGTCTTCCTTTAACCATCTTACCCCCACGTCCGAGTCACCTTCAATTACCAGCCTCCTAATGTTCAAAATCTCTTGCTCTTTGGACTCCTTCCAAGGCCGCAAAAATCTCAGCCCTCAGAGAGTCTCCCTCTATATACCAATCTATAGATAATTTCATGCTATACAAACAAAGTAAGCCTTGTACTTGGGACTCACACAATTTAAACTTTATAAAAAAAAAGAAAAATGCACCTTATATTGGAGCTTACACAAGGTACGGTTAGCTATACAAAGTTCCAATCTTTTGATTTAATACTCACAAAAGGGTTTATGCTGGAGTTGGAGCATGTGGCAAGGGCTTCTAGGATAACACTCTCCCCATGAGTAGATGGTAAAGAGGGGACTTTTGGAGCCCTTTTAATGCCATTTTTATACCATGTGGAAGATTACCTTTTTTTTTTAAATGAATCTCTAGATGACCTTACTAGCAATTCCATTCCCTTGTTAAATATAATCAGAATATCTCTTGATCTATGCTGCACTGATATAGCGTCCTAGTTGGTGGGCACTAAAAAATATGATTCATAGACTTGGCAGTGTTTAGACAAAATAGAAGATATTATTGTTTACATTATCAGATTTACAATGGGTCAAAAAAGCTAGGAATTGTACCAGACAAAAGAACAAATGAATTTATAATGTTATATCTATGTAGTGTTTTTTACCTAAACTTTATACTTATATAGGATAGATATGCAAAAAGTAGTCGTACAAGATTACAGAGAATCTTTAGGTTTTGAACAGAAAATAAAAGAGGAGAAAAGGAGAAGAAGAGAAGAAGAGATAGAGAAGAAGCACTCGTGGGAGAAGCTTTGAAAGAAGAGAATGGTTGGAGTGCTTAAAACAGCCGCCCCACTCCTTAATTTATATACATGGTTTCCTAATTGCAAAAGAACTTTAATGCTTACATGGCAATAAAAGATAAGATTAAAATAAAACTAATCCTAGATAAGATAGAATAACTAATCCTAGATAAGATAGA